CTCGCACCATAATATCTGCCTTGTTGGCCTTCCCCCTGATTCTTACCCATAAACACTCAACCCTATCATCACCATCATCAAGCTCTAGACAGTCAAAACACTCCCTAACGTACAGGGCTACCCCATCGCCTCTCCTTCCTTGCCTATCCCTTCTGAAGAGTTTATAGCCATCCATCGCAGCACTCCAGTTGTGCATGTCATCCCACCATGTTCCCGTGACAGCAACTGTATCACTGTTTTCCTGCTGCACAATGGCTTCCAACGCCTCCTCTTTGTTGCCCATGCTGCGTGCATTGGTGTAGATGCACTTCAGTTGCTCTATTGATCCTGCCACCTTTTCCTGGGGAGAAACCTTAATGCCTATGTGACTGTTCTCAGCTGCTTCCGTGGCTTCTAACTCATCAACAACCCTTGCGTCTTTGCTGCCACATGGATGTCCATCCCCTACCCCCACTGAGATGGCTAAGGAGCATTCATTGCTGCTCTGACTGGCTTGGCTTTTTACCCTGTTGCATTCAACTTCACAGGTGTCACCACTATGAACCCCAGTCCCCCAGGCTTGTCAGTTTAAAGCTCGTTTCACCAAGTTTGCTAACCTGTTGGCAAAGATTCCTTTGCCTTTTCTAGTCAGGTGGTTCCCATCTCTCCCTAGCAGGTTGTAGTCATCAAACAGTGTCCCATGATCATGAAAGCCAAAACCCTCATGAAAGTACCAGCCATGTAGCCAAGTGTTGATTTGCATGATGCATCTGTTCCTGCCTGCACCCTTTTCTCTAACTGGTAAAATAGAGGAAAAGATAACCTGAGCACCAATCCCTTTCAATCACACCCCCAGAGCTTTGTAGTCTTGCTTGATTCTGCCCAGGTTCTGGCTTGCCATGTCATTCATGCCCACATGAGAGTGGATAACAGTGTGAATAAGTGGTAAAGTGTGTTATAAACCAGTGTATAGTTGACCTAAGCCAGTCAATGGCTATATTTCCATATGGTTTAATACCAGCTTGCATTTTCATTGTCCAATAAGGACAGAGTGTTGAGAGGCCTCTGTATCAATGTTAAATGTAAAAATGAAAATCAAAGACACATTTAAGATTGAGCATGTCCCATAAAAAACTAATAATCCGTAAATAATCAGAGCCAAAATCCCACAGGTATTTAAAGAACCTTCCAAAACACGCTCTCTGTCTGCCAAGTCTTTGTGGCCTTGCCTACTTTATAGATTTGTGTGTATTATGGGAAGACCAATAAGCTTTTAATATATCACAACGTACTAGTTACTTCCTCAGCAGCCGTCAATGTCAAAGAAACCCTGTCCCTCTGGCCAGAGGCAGCCAGCCAGGCAAGCAGGCTACCAGCCTTGGCTTGCCTAGCACAGGCAGTGGGGTCATGACCATTTTGCTGCCTTGCACAGCTTCTTAACTGCCTGTGTCTGATACTGGTCAAGAGATTTAAAGATAATAAAACCCACAATAATCAACATCTTCATTTTCCCTGGAAAACTCAGTGTTGAAGGCTTTGAGATGCATGGCACACAGAATGTTCTTAAACAGCCAGGATTAGTTATGCATGGAATAATATTGACTAAATATGAATACCCAGTTAAGCAGCTGAAAATCAGATGATTAGATAAAGTGTTCAAGCTACATGGAAATGTTTTTTCCTTTTAGCTGGGACACAAAAACATATAAAGACCCGCTCAAACAGTATGTGAAAACCCTGTTGAGTGTTGCCTAAGACATGCCTTGCAGGTGATACAGACTTGGAGATTAACTGAGGCTTCCTGTTGTATGCTCTGTTTACTTAGACCACAGTGTCCCTTGTATAACTTTGTGTTTCTGCATTGCCTTAGATAACTATGCTAAATCTACCTGTGCATCTGTGTATCTGGAGGATTGCTCTAGAGACTAGCAGGGCAGCAGATGTGAGAGAAGCCAGATCAAGTCTCACATAGCACCGCACTTCTGCTATCTAGATTCAGACCTTGAATTCAGTGTACTGTCCCATGAGATTTGTATCAGTAATCTGGTACTGTACTGCACCACAGCCTTTCCTCTACTACAATTTCTTTTCCCATTGCCAGTGCTACAGTGCTTTCTTCTTTTCAGCAGATCCTCAGAAAAAAGGCAATGTAGCTAAACGTCCCAGCTGGTAGCCACGGCTACCATTCATACAATTACTCAGGGAAAGCTAACCTGGACTAACCAGGCTATGCCTGTGAATTCACAGTTCATTATTTTCAACTCTTGTGAAGTCATTTGATAAGAATCAAAATAACTTTCATTTGGTTTATAGGAATTCACTTTGGAAACTCACCCAGATGGAGGCCACTGGGTAAGACATATTACCAGTGTCTTCAGTACAGTCTAACCAATTAACGTTAGAGGATGGTTAACTGGTTAACTTTTCTGATTTCCTGATGTAGACAAGCACTTAGATGAAAATGACGCATAAGAATAATCAGAGTAAGTGGGGAGCCAATTTGGAGAAGATAATATGCATTCATTTCCTCCCACCATCCTAGTTTTTTTTTTTTTTTAACTTTTTTTCCTCCACTAATATGGGCAGGGATGTGGGAGGGAGAAGGAGGGGCTCTACCATTGATATTAATTACATGGAAAACCGAAGGTCTTTCTTTGAATGAAAAGGGACATTGCCGAAGAAAAATCTGGATATGTTCTTGTAAATATTTGGCCTTCCTTCTTTTCCAAGGGACACACTATATTATGCACGTAAAAGACTTCATTAGACTAAGGAAAAACCAAAGAGTGCCTATCCTAACTGAATGGCCCATGATGCCCCAGCTCCTGCCTACCTCCATCTCTTGCTTTACCAGACCAACATAACCCAGGGGCCAGGGTTGTTAGCCAAGGCGGGTGCTCATGGAGCATGGCAGAGAGGTGGCAGGGAAACCGCAGAGACTCTCTGCACTGCAGGACACGTCACTCCATCACATGGATGCCATTTACCTTTATCCGTTGATGCCCACCACAGCAGACCATGAAGTGCCGACCCTCGCCAGCCATGGACAGGGTACCTGCAGCCACCGAGGGAAATACTGACAACCGCCGCGGATCAAACTCCAGCAGCTTGCCTTCCTTTAAAAGAAGGAAGGAAAACCTCTGCTGCTAACTGGGGGTCAAACCACAGCTTTGCTGCTCTTTAGGAAAAGTTAATTAGAATCAACCTTTAAAAATTTGCTAAGCCAAATTAAAACCCTCTGTCCAAGCACTAGAGCAGGACTTTGGCAAGGTGAGATTGCAGTCTAGATTGCCACAAACTTTCTGCATGAACTCATACTTGGCCACTGCACTCAGGTACCTAATTTTAGGCACTTACCCAAGTTCCTCAATTCATTGCCATCAACCTGGGCTCACTGACATTCAAGAGGGAGCGGGAGAGAGGAGAGAGAGGCCCCTCTGCAGGCGCTGCTCAGCTCTGAAGACGGAGGGAGCTCTGCCTGACTGAACAGAGACTAACACTGCAGTTTTAGGTGCCTAAAATTAGGTGCAATGAATCTGGGCCTTAAAAGTCTTCACAAATATGTTTGTAGGTTTCTTAAGAAATCAAAAAATGCCTTTTGAGATGTTCACAATGCTCAGATTTTGAACTCTCACTTTGCAGTATTTTTAGGAACCTAAGTGTTGTTGCAGAGCCAGCCTAGCTCCTACCATCTTTGTGCTTCATTTCTTCGTATATCTTTCTGTTTCCTGATACCCTTTTAATGCATTAGGTATTGCAACTGTAAACTGTTACATTCTGGTGCTGTGTCTAACTATTTGCATGTCTAACAACTTGTGTCTGGTATAGTACCAGATCAAATAAAAAAGATTTTTTTAATTAGAAGAAACAAGCAATGCTGACTTATGCAACATCTTTGCAACGAGAAGGTAGTTTAAAAGTACAGCTAGAGCATGCATGTGAACTGTCCTTTTCTCTGTGATCTATGCTTGGCTTTATAAGAAGTTCAGAAAGTACTAGTCTGCTGATATTAACTAGCACATGCACAAACCCATAATGATTTAGGGTATTCTTTAAATATTCCGCAACAATACAGCTAGGTATTTCTGAATGAAGTTTTTCTGTAGGTGTTCCACAAGTATTTTAAGAGGTGAAAGGGGGAAAAGCTAGAGAAAAAAGAACACCTCAGAAGTTACCGCGATTAGAAAAGACAGTATTACACTCATTCTGTAGCACAGTAGTACAATTAAATGCTAGCCACTTAGTATTAGTGCGAATAAATGCTTTCCTTTCCTGTCATTATGTATTACTCCTAACCACAATAGTAAATTTGAACATTTAGAAAGCAGAAAAGGAGATTATGTTCTTGAAAGTCTTCCACAACAGTCCCAGTAAAGAGGTCTAAGAGCAAATATAAAATGAAAGCTTAACCTACCATTTTCTGTGTGCTTCCAGGTCTGGCAAATTTGTCGCTGGAGGAGACTGTAAATCAGAGCAGAAGAAAACAGCATAAAAGAGGTCCCCACTGGTTCAGCTCAGGTGCAGAGGAGAGTATAAAATGACATAACTCACTCAAGACAACAGCAGTAATCACTACTCTATCACTACTCTTCAGCTGGACTGCAACTTGAGAAATAATTAAATGTGAAACAACTGCTGCAACCTACTTCCTCAAACATTTGTACTTAAAATTAAAACAACAGTACCTCATATACTCCTCCACCCCCCATAAAAATAACTGAGTACTCTTATTTTTTCCCTTTTAAGCAAATTCTCACATTACTCATACATCCACGTGCTGTTGTGACAAAAGTTTTTTTTTTTCTTTTGGTCTCATATGCTGCAATTTGCTCTCTTCTTTGCTACTTTTGAACACGGTTTTCATTTCAAACTGTATATTTTACCTAGTTACAGTGTCATACCATAAAGAACTATAATAAGACCTACTCCAAGATGAATATCCAAGCCACGGGGAACCCCAAAGGAGGGCAATTGCAAAACACTTGGCGACAGAGCATAAGATCAATCACCTGGGAGACAAATGCGTTACATAAGGGTAACATTCACTTCAGACAACTAAGATTTGCAGAAGCTCAAGTTCCTTCTCCCCCCCCCCCTTTTTTTAGTGTAAGCTGCACAGAGACAGAAATTGTTAATTGACGTTAACAGTATTTTAGACTTGGAAGTTTAGTTGTCGTCGTCGTCGTCGTCGTTGTCGTTGCTGTTGTTGTTATTAGGGGTTCATTTCTGCTGCAAATACCTTCAAGAACTGGGACAAATCTCTTCAGCTGCATACTTTGTGGAAGAAATGTCTATTAAGTGAATGGGACTTCGGGGAAGGGAACCAAAATAAACCAGGAAAAAAAGGATAGTGGTAAGGGCATAGGCAACAGCATACAAAAAGGCGAAAACTGTGTGGGAGAGTGTAGAAGGGACCGAGTGAAAAATGGCATGGATAGACTTAAGCTGGTGACAATCCAGCATTTCATGGAACACGGTGTCTGAGAGTTTCCTACTTAGAAGTTTCTATGCCTAGCAGGACAGACTAGTTCAATGGTTAGGATATTTATTAGGCG